CTTAAATATCTATATAAGGTTTATATANCTAAAGAGACCTAAAGATATAGAAGCAAAGAACTACAAGAAACAACTAGTAGATAACAGCCTTCTATCTATCTATTCTAATGCCTTAGCTACAAAGCAAGGCAAAGGTGTAGGAGTAGGGGTTGCATTCTATCTAGGAACAACACAAATAGCCTAAGAACAATATACTTGTCAGACTGTGAGGTGTTTTCTAATCAAGGATAGACTTAAGTCACTGTGAGGAATAGCTGCGATAATTGATGGGAGAAATTGATTGTATTGATTGTTCTGTCCTCGCCAGCGGCGCGCAGGAGCGCCGCCTTATGAGCGCTGTCGCTGCGACACCAGTGGTATCAGTTGTGTCTCATGTATCGGCCCTACCTAGGGTGGGCTTGGCGCTTGACTCTGATTGGCTAGGATCACAGAATCCTGGTGCTCGAGTCCGCACCCGGATTCTGCCGCTTATCTGACAATACTATAGGAAATAACTAACTAGTTTACAATAGTAAACTAGAAGGTATTACCCTAGGGCTAGAAAAAGCAATAGAGCTAGTAGAGAACTATTTAGATATAAAAGTCTATGCAGATAATTAAGCTACTCTACTTAGGTTAAAGACTGCTTCTAATAATCTAGGCTAAGAATAGCAAATTAGATATATAAAGGCAACAAAGAAACTAGAGGAGATAGGTATACGCCCTAGCCTTTACTAGGTACTAGGCCACCAAGATATCCCTAGGAACGAAAAAGCAGACGCCCTAGCTAAAGAAGCTACTAAGCTAGACCCTCCTTCTACTAGCAAAACTAGCCTAGCTATTACTAGCTCGCGAATTAAGCAGCTAAGAAAGAGAGAATGGCTAAGCTAACTTGAACAGTATAGGAAAAAAGCCACTAGCAAGAATCCACATACGTACGCAGCAAAATATAAGTAGAAGATAAGAAAGCAAATCGCTATTCCTAGCAATACTAGAAGAGAGATTTCTAGCGCTTTCTACTAACTTAAACTAGAGCACTATTACCTAAGAGACTACCTATATAAGAGAGGGAAAGTAGATTCTAATAGTTGCCCCTGCAACTATAGGTCTATACAAGACCTACCTTATATTCTAACGTGATAGATAAGCGAGTCGGTCAGACAAGCGAGTCGGTCACCTCACTAACTTTGCGCACTTCTATAAGCGTATAGCTCTACTATATTATATTAGTTTTAGTAGATATTAACGCAATAGATTAATTACTATCTAGACTATCTTTCTTGCATGTACGTGAGTTATGGCTAGTCTCTCTGCACCTACTACAGCGCGCTAGAGCCTGGCGGCTGACACCTGATCGCTCTCCTCCTTGACGCTCTTTATGAGCAATCTGCTGATTAGCCTCGCGCTAAGTGAGTAGATCCTCACTAGCTCCCTTTGTTAGCACTTCTTGCTTCTATATCTACTTCCTTTTACGCTGCCTACGCTTTGTTGCTGCCTTATTAGCCCTCTTAAGGCTAGTGTGGGTGGTCAATGCGTGCAACGGGTCAGACAATGCAACACCCCCTGCATCTCCAACAGTAGAACCCACCAATTTCAAATCCCCACAACTCCACCACCATGACAGCTATCGAAAAAGCGCTTGCGGCAATTAATTCGCAAGGTCTAGAAGGACAAGTCTCGAACCGTACAGCTACAAAAATATATGGTGTTGCAGCATCAACTTTAACGCGTCGCCACTAGAACAAAACGCGGTCGCGTGCAGCCGCTGCACACCCACGACGACTACTCTAACCACAACAAGAGAAATACCTTGTCTAGCACATAGAAAAACTCTCTAAGCGTAGTACTCCACCGTCCTAAGAGATAATTAAAAAATATGTTGCTAATATTGCAAAAAGACAGCCATCTAACAGCTGGGTTACAAGATTTCTTCGGCGGAATAGAGAGAAAATTATCACTAGAAACACCGCCGGCATTGACTAAAACTGCAAAAAAGCTGACGATTTTAAAGATTACTATAATTACTTCCGTCTACTTCACGATTATATCAAGAAATACAATATCCAGCCACAAAATATCTATAATATAGACGAAAAGGGCTTTCTCCTTAGTGTCACCTCAAGGACCAAAAGGGTGTTCTCTAAGAGACTTTGGGATGAAAAGAAAGTTCAAGCAGCTGTTAGAGACGGCAGTAGGGAGTGGATAATAACTTTAGACTGTATTTGTGCTAACAGGAGCTGGATATCGCCTATGATAATCTTTGAGGGCAAAGCTAGACTTCGAAACAACTAGGTAGAGCACCTAGATCCTTCCCAACACTAGATGTTTTTTGCTACTAGCGACTTAGGCTAGAGTAACGATATCCTAGGGCTATCTTAGCTTAAGCAGGTGTTTTAGCGCTAAACGAAAGACAAAGCAAAGCGCGATTATTAGTTGCTAATCCTAGACGGTCATAGGAGTCATCAGACTCCAAGTTTTCGAGAGTTTTGTGACTCTAAAAGGATTCTCCTAGCTACTCTCCCTCCCCACTCATCTCACCAACTCTAGCCACTCGACGTTGGCATGTTTAAGCCCCTCTCGAGCGCGTATACCAAAGAACTTAATAGTCTGTCCCACCGCAGTCAAGGCTTGGTAGAGGTGCACAAAAGTGACTTTTTATAGTTATTTTAGGCAGCGTAGACACAGGCGTTCACGTCTAACAAGATACTAAGCTGTTTTTAAGCTACTGGCGTCTACCTGCAGGATGGTAATGCCGTGCTTAAATATCTTAAAAAGTCAACACCATAACAAGATATTAATCCAGAACTTGGAGAGCACAGTGATGGGGATACTGCAAGAGAGCTGTCTAATTTTCTAGACAAAACTATAATAGGTTGTGCTAAAGTTATAGTCTCTGCGGTGAAAAACACTATTGCTTCACTCTAGGTCAACAACAAGATTTTGCACCACGAAAACACTAATCTACGAGAAGTACTTGCTATTAAAAATTATCTAAAGAAGCAAAAGAAGCCTCTAGAGCTCCAGCAAAGCAAGCAGTATTATACTCCGGCGGTGGTGTGGAGTCCTAGGACAATAGAAGATGCGAGAGCTCAAGAACGTCAAAAAAAACACTAAGAAGAGCTTGAAAAACTCCAAAAAAAAGAGAAACAACAGGAACGAGCTGCTAGTATAGCTCTACGAAGAAAATTAATAGATGAGGCAAGGACTGCGCGGGAGTTGAAGAAAATAGCGAGGGATAAAGAGAGAGAAGTGAGGGCCAAAGAACTCTAGTTAAGACGCGCCTAAAAAGCTCGCGATCGCGCAGTCGCAACTTCAAAAAAAGCTCGCGATAAGCAAAATATACC